TTTAAATATTAAAGTTGTCTTTCTCTAGAAATCGGCTTTTTTTACTAAGAACGTTTTAGCAACAAATTTTGCAACACATTGATGACAGGGTAATGCATAATGTTAGAGCAAAATCGGCTCATGATATACTGATTTGCAAAACGAGCTTAATATATTTGGTTTGTTGCAAAATAAACCTTTGACAACTAGAGTTTGAAAAAAGTGTTAATACCAGTGGACGTTGTGAGCAGTTTTTAAGCGTTTTATTAAGCCTACATTAAAATTTTTTGAGGGTATCTTGTGGAACGTATAACTTTCTTGTAACATGCTATTTGGACAGAAAGTGTGCCAAAACGGACAATTACGAAGATCTTTGTCGCTTTTGTGCGAAAAGCTTAAAAAAGTTAATTGCTTACCTGCATGTTAACGACAATTCCTCACTTCTTACAGACGACTGTCTCAAGTCCACTGTCATCTAATAAGCCCAACCCATGTCTTATAATTTTTCTTACCTCACTTGAAAGGACAGAATGCGTGAGAAATAATCTATGATCTTTTTTTATGAAGACACCCTTGAAATGTAGACAAAAGGTTATGTCACTTTGAGCTGACATAAAAAAGGGCGTCAATTTCAATCAAGCGGGTGTTCACTATCTGTGCAACTATCTCAATTATTTAGCTGGTTTTCTGGCTCACTTTCGGGGGTCATTCTCTAGCTCTGTTATCTCTTCTATCTAGCTAAGAGTCGTGCACATGAGGAGCCCCAAGTTTCTGCAACAGTAAGTTTGGTTAATTGTCGGTTTGTTCTTCCATTTGTACGGTATTATTTCTAGTTTAAGTTTCCGATCAAAATTATTCCCTACGCCAACATCAAGGGCAATCAAAGTAGGCCGTTTGAAATCATAGATCTGGACTAATTTGGGCTGGTGCTTATAAAGGCAAATGATGCTTCCAACAGTACAAAGGGAAGATGGGTATGTCTATTCACTTGCCTAGTGACGAGGAACGTACATCTGGAAGCAGTAATTGGTTTATCAACAGCGAGTTTTTTAATTATTTTAAGAGGTTCATTTCAGTATGAGGACAACCGCGACTATTAATGTATTCTAACAACGGAACAAGTTTGAAGCAGTTAATAAAACTCTAGTTCAATTGTGGAATAAGTTAATTGTTGATGAAGAGGTCTGCACACATTGTTCAAACAAAGGTACTAGCTGGGATTTTGTCACCGAATACAGTCTATGATAAGGAGGATATTACGAACGTTTAATCGGGATAGTAAAAGCAGCATTACAAAAAACTATTAAAAATTATTGGACGTAAAGTTTAAAAGCTAGAGGAGTTCTCAGGCCAATTTAAGAATCCGCTGCCATAATTAATTTGCGCCTACTCACGTGCAGTTATGATGGTCCAACCGTCTTCTATAATAAAGCCTATGGATTTTCTCCATCTCCAGCTCGGCAGTCCAACTGGTATGATTCCATTAGGGATATTTCAAGATCCAGATTATATTTTGCCACAAGAGAGAACAGAGTTTGTAAATTTGTATAGACGTACGTTAGCGTTAGCAGATAAATACTGAGAAACCCTAAAGCAAGAGTAATTGCTCGGCCTCAGAGAAAAACAAGGCATTCAACATAAAAGATGCAAAAGAGTGGTTAAAGGAATACCAAAAGTAAGGGATACTGTGCTTATTGAGGAAACTGATCTTCGACGAGGGAGATGGAAACTTGGAAGAACTGCAGGCATTCCAACAAACAAAAATGGTTCCATTAAAAAAATGTTAAAGTCATCCTCCCGAATCGCAGCAGCAAAGTACGACCGATGAGTGTTCTTTACTTTATGAAGTGTAAAAAAATGAAATTTTTAACACCGTTGTCACCATATTCTCTTTCAAAAATAATTTGTTTTCTATCCAATTATACCTAAGCATAAGTTAAATCTTAACTTACCTTTTCCAAGTTTATTTGGTGTATGCAAAGTGGTTAAGATACAATCAGGCTTTAGCAATATTATATTTCTCTATTCCGTACGAACGGCATTTCAAAACAACAAACTTGTTTTCAGTGCAAGGCTGAAATATTGGAATCCAAGAACAGACATGAGAGAAAGGCTCTTTAGAACTGACGGTTTGATTATTATGGATTTTTTTGTACTATTCCTTTTGATGACAACAAAGACCGGTCCTGACCAGAGGAATTTCGAATTCAAGACCCACTCACGTCTTCAGACTAGCTCAGACCACAGTCTATTCGAGAAATGCTAAATCACTGTGTCCGAGAGACTGCTTAAGTACCAAACATTTCACAAGAGGTTGGGGATGGAATTATTCTTCTTTATCGCCGCTGGATATCGTACGTCTCAAATAGTAATATTTGAGCTTCCACAGGAAAAGGCACCTGTCTGTGGCCTTATTGCAAAAGAACTTGTTTTTCTATCGGAATTGTCTGCTTCCCATCATATTGGTGATGTCGTTAGCTGATTAAACGATTTATGATGCTCTCATCTTACAATGGTTGTGGCATTTATCATTGCTAGATGAATAAAATCTGTGTTGATTGGAATGTTGATCGATATTGGAGAACTTAGATATGTAATCACAGATTATCCTGAACGGTTGGTCGATGAATTTTATCCATTGTTTGACCAAGATAAACGCTTGTTATTAAACCAATTGCCTACTGTGCGCTTTCTCCTGAGGGACATTATCTTTCTCAATGTTATCCTCTCAAACGTATTTGGGGACATTTAGTTGTCAGTGTTATAACCGAGATAAGTAAGGTACCATCGTACATGGCCACCCAATCACTGTCCAAGATTAAATGATTCAGAACTGTCGTATGCCTTGATGCCTTGTATTATCAACGTGCGCTAGATATTCGGGAGATAAAATATCGATTGACTGATTGGAAACATGTTGAGTTATTCCAGTGTTTCACAAAAAAGGATTATATTTCTGGCCCTAACCTTTTGGTTGATGAAGCGTTGTGTTTGGCTAAATCAGTAATTCAAAGTGGACTCGAGAAAATTAGAACCTGCCTAGCATCTGGCAGGAGAAGACTACTATTGGCACATTTGCTTATTGACAAAGGTGATCTATTACAAAACTTACATGATATTGATAATAATGGTTTAATGGATGATGATTGCGTTATTGGAGTGTCACCGAAAGAACAATGTATTTTGCCGTAAATGCTTGGAATTACCAAGCGAGATGCTCGGAGAGACGTGGAAAAAAGAATGACTGTTGCAGGTTGGAAAACTCATAATTATCTCACCCAATCTGCTGAACAGTTTAAAAACACAGTTATTGAAGCATTCCCACTTTCCATCGCAACTTTTGACTCTATTTTCAAAATCTGAAGCCAACCAAATATTGTCCAAAGCCTTCATCGATTCCGTGGCAGCCTCGCATCACTGTATGAAGGGTAGATGTAGCTTTGCTGCGGTTCACCGTTTTATGTCCCCTGTTAGTATATTCATGAAAAAAATAAAAAACAAGTCCATTTTCATTCAACAAAAAACGCTTTTGAGAGAAACAGCTGTTCAAGGCTATGTCTAGGTTGTATATTTTAGAGGTTTTTCAGACGAATTAATATTAATGAATACCATTTTACTTTGACAGATGTATGGCTTCCTGCATAACAGGAGCTCTAAAATCCCTCCAAGATACGTGTTCCTCCAGTGAACAACTACACAGTTTCATAAACAGCGGAAATGTACTGATCAAAGATGGTGTCCTGACAAAATTTAATTTTGTAAAGAACGGTTTTTTTGAATTGAGCCGTGTTCTACCAGTTGGACAACTAACGTTTGATAAGTTTTAAGCAAATTTTAACACTTTAAAAGAGAAGTTTCAGAAATTTCTTTGACGACCAATATTTAAAATTAAATGCTTGGTTTATCTTTTCAGTAAAGTTTTACCGTTGATGGAGAAATGCGGTACAAAGACACAATTTAACTTTCAACTCGTTGTGTCACTGTGACCAAATAATTCCTGTTTTTAGCTGTCAGTCGAGTAATACTTTAATCCTTGTAATCCTTTACATCTTTTGTGTAACATCAATATACCAATTTTATTTTTTTTTACTTTAGAAATTGTTTTATAACAAAATAGAAATGCCATCTTTAATTTTACCGTTTTTTCTGAATGGCGGTTTTTCGTCACTTAATCGCTCAGTAGTGGTGAGACTGATGTACAATAGACTAACAGCAAATTGATTCTTATAAATCGCAATTGTGGTATCATATCTATCAATTTTGCTGTGCCTAATTCTACGGCTGCGATTACGGTGCAAGTAAAGTCAGAAGGAGGAAAGTGTTTTGCATTATTCAGCAAGTGAAGAATCTGCTTCCTGTTAGAACAATAGACTTTTTACGGCTTGTTTCTGGTAAACCCAAACTTCCACAGTAAACCTTGTAAGTGTTCAGATATAAAAACTGGCAAGCAATTAAATAACGACGAGTAAGATTCTTCTACCAGAAAGGCTTTATATAAACGGTTTATTCAAGCCGCGCTTGATATGTATTTTTGCCCGCTGTGTAAGCATATGATACATATAAATATATATAATATATGCATACATGGTGTGTCAAAAATACACATTAAACGCGGCTTGAATAAGGTGTTTATATAAAGTATAAATATATCTCTTTTTTTTATTTACAAATCCAACGGAACAGTTTTGGCTAGGGGTTACGGTTTGCCACTACAGTGATTACCATAAACAGCCCTGCAGTTGAATAGAAGTTGAATCGTCGGCAGTTTTTATATCTTCCAAGCAGGAAGAAAAAAAAAGAAGGAAGCAGAAGGAAGCATATATAATCTGGGTCTTTCAACTTTTATTCGCTTTAGAGTCGTCATTAAAGCAATTAGTTTAAGCTGATTTTTTAATTGATATCTGATAACAAAAGTTTTATCAGTTTTACCTCGTGGCATCAAACAGTTATCCCAGAACAGCTTTGACAGAGGCCGTTTTAAAACTGCCAGGAAAATTTGATGGAAAAAAACAACAAAAACCCTACTACATTAAATGGATTTGCAAATCTACAAACTGCCATTTTGTAAGTGAAATTTTAACCGTCGGTAAGCACTGGAAGGCGTCTTGTCTTCTTTATTGTCGATTGAATGCAACAAAACTACCAAGTTTCAAACAAAAATAGCCTTATTTTCTTGTCAGCTTAGTGCGACTGGCAATAGTAACTACAGAACGGGTGTCTGCAGTGGTCTGCATCGGAACTTCTTGAATGCTTCGTTCCGTACGCGGCTGAGTTACCAAGTGAGTTTGCGGTGCCATGAATCTAATGATAGCTAAGCGGTACCCAGTCCTCAGAACAACACCCTCGTTCTTTAAGAAGAAAACCGTGGTTACTATGGATGAATCATCAGCTTAATACGCTGAGTAGTATGCATGTGTATCTGAACAGACAAACTTCTTTCATCTACTTTTCATTCGTTTAATTTTCATCTGTGTAAGAGGCTTTTAGTAACACTTTTACCAAGATATATGAGATAATCTTCTTTAAGCAACACTAAAAGTATTCAGCCGGAAGTAATAAACCAGCTCTTCTTTGGTCATCACTGTGAACAGAGGTGTTAGTAATAACAGTCCGCTGAACAGTTTTCCCTTTCAAGCTTTTCTATCGGATAAAATTGATACAACTGTTACATCTCTTCATATTTCTGTTGCAGTAAAACGGGTAGCTGTATGATGAACTGTATGATGAAAGTATAACGCTGATATATATTGGGGGTATTTATGTTAGGGAACGCTGGTGAAAATTCAAAAGCAGAAAACCTAGACGAGGAACTCGAAACACAATGCGCCGTCAACAACAGCACCGAACGAGATTCAGCAGTGAGAAAACTAGGAAATTATTCCACTTGCGATCCATTTGTTTTTGTTTTCCTCGGTTAGATAACCCTGTCCCATACAATGTCAGTGACAAAGTTAGGAACTGTCGAGAGGTACTCTCTGTACGTATTTCCAGTCTAGCAACCAGACAAGCAAGACGAGTTGTCACTTGGCACCGTGAGGTAGCTTTTCATACTTCGAAGAACTATGGCAGCAGGCAAACGCCCAACGCTCAGGTACTTTACAGAAGACAATGGACGCGTTGCGGACGGCTTTGTGTACGTACTGCTGCGTGATACACTCCAACAGCTCTTCCCTGACACACCTTACATCGCCTTACCATCGTTTCCTTTTCCATCTTTCCATGTTTTTGTGTCGTTATCCATCCTCTCGGCTGTTTTCAAGACCGTTATGCCTAGACTAAATTCATTTTTACTGAACTACCTATGTCTGTCTGATTTCGTTTAATGCTGTTGCCTTTGGTTACCCGTGTTATGTCTGATCGACAAGGACTTGTTCGATTTAGTTAAAAGTCTAATGTGTTCGTTCAAGGCGCTTTTATGCATTTGGATCTGTGTGTGGTGTGTTTTTGAGAACACTTTTTTCTTTTACTCAACGGTCTTTAAAGGTCATAATTTACCGCTATCGTTAAAGTATTGGCAGCAACTGATGACCGTTTTGCTTTAGTTGTTCTTGTTACGCCGAATCAGGCCACCATAAGTTTGAAGTAATAACCTCAAAAAGTTTTTTCAAGTTTTAACCGTGAGGATGGTTTATGGACTTTTATAAGCATGAAAAAAGGTAATTTTCAGTAGTAGGACTTTCTACTTTTAATTTTTTTTGATACTTTGTAAATTCAAAATATAATTTGATACTGGACTTTCATTTTGAGTAATTTATTCGAGCAATTTTTACGTACTTTAAGTACGTTACTTTCTCAAATTTGCATTTTAGAATTGATAATGGTCGGCTTTTTTTTTTTT